GCTATCTAATTCACTTAGTAAGATGCGAACTTGAGTGATGGGTGAGCAATCATTATTGGCAAGGACCAAGTACAAGCGCCCGTACACAATGGGAGTTCGCTAAGAGAGGAAGAAAACCCTCATTGATTTATTTCTGTTTTTCTATCAATAATGGTGCTAGTTCAATAGTAATAAGAATAGCCGGGCGCTTGTGCGGCCTTATAATGTCCTTTTTAGCTGGTGTTTTTGAAGGTTTATCAAGGCGGTAAAAAAAAAGCATATTTTGTGCAAGATACTTTTCTATGTATTATCAGGGATCACGACTTATTTTATTTGTCTGGCGAATCTGACGAATCTGAAGTTTATGCATCTCATTTTTGGGTGTTAGGGTGACACGGCATTGCGTGATATGGAGTGACAAGCATGTAAGATATCCCCCGCAAGGGAACTATTTATAAACTATCTCATATCCTACCCATGAAAAGTACGAATCCATTGATTTTAATATAATTTGAGCTGATCAATCATACTGCACATACCCTACCATCATGTCCCAATCTAGTGTTCCAGCGACAGACCCCGCTGTCTACGCTGAATACGAGACCACATGGTCCAATCTCCCGGACACCGAAGAAGGGTGGATTGCTAGAGCCCGGGAGGTCTCCGAGGTGCTAGCCAAAGACGCGGCCCAAAGAGACCAGGAAAACAAATCGCCGCGTGCCGAAGTGGCCTTGCTCAAGCATTCGGGCTTGACAAAGCTTCTAGGGCCTAAGAAGTATGGTGGTGGCGAGCAAGCCTGGAGCATTGGATTTAAGATAATCAGAGAGGTTGCGAAGGCAGATGGGTAACACTCAAGCATCTCTGATAGCTCCCAAACATAGTCTCTAATAAGAAGACAGATCTATCGGTATGCTGCTTGGCTATCACCTTCTCTGGTCTACCATTGCAAATGTGGTGGGCACACCTGAACAAGCCGACCGAACCCATCAGTTGATCATTTCAAACAACTACTTTGTCGGGGGCGCCGTGAATCCTCGCGACAGTGATCTGAAGATCACTCTAGATGGAGACCATATCGTATTCACCGGTAACAAGTACTTCAATACTGGAGGTGTTGTGTCCGACCTCACAGTCCTTGAAGGTGTATTGGATGGTACTCAGGATCATATCTTTGCTTTGGTGGAGACCCGACAGCCCGGTATCCAGTTTGCTCACAACTGGCACAACATTGGGTTGCGCCTGACCGAGTCTGGAGGCGTGAAGATAGAGAATGTCCGTGCTTCTTGGTCAGATGCACTGGGCTGGGATGCAGCTACCAAGAAGCCTCGCGATGATACTCTAAAGATCGCGTTCCCTACTCTACTCCTGCCAACGTAAGTGCAGTATATGTCATTCCATATGTCATGCTCCCCCGGTAGTTCAATGGCTGAATGCTTACTCGCTCTCTCCCACAGTATCCAACTGGTCTTCAGTAATTTCTACTTGGGCATTGCTCTCGGTGCTTTGGATTTTGCCTCCAAATATACCACATCCGCAACACGTGCCTGGCCTTTCGGTGGTGACAACAAGGAATCAGCAACGGATGAGTTCTACATCCTCGAACGCTATGGGAACTTCTTTGCGCATCTGCGTGCCACTGAAGCCCTTGCCGATCGAGCAGGTGATCAACTCTCAGGGCTTTATACTCGATATCAAGCGCAGAAATCTGGTCTCACTGCCCAGGAACGTGGAGAGGTTGCGGAGTGGGTGGCTAGCATCAAGGTGGTTGCCACAGATGTCGGACTCCGGGTTACTTCTGGTATATTTGAAGTGACTGGGGCCCGTGCCACTGCCTCAAAGGTCGGATTGGATCGATTCTGGCGGGATATTCGAGTACACACTCTTCATGATCCGGTGGCGTACAAGAATCGGGAATTGGGACGATATGCACTACTGCATGAAGTGCCTGAGCCTAGTTGGTATACTTAAGTGCTATAGGGTAGAATGAGCTCGATGCTTAATGTATGTCAATATGAATATGAATATAAATATATATGCAGGCTCAAGCTGTATGATGGTACAACATGCATATAGACAATATCAAGGGTCTAAAGGGTCTATGTTGTACAGATAAGAGCCCCGCACATGGACGGGCCGATATCANATTTTTTTTTTTTTTTTTTTCTTCTTTTCTTTTTTCCCCTCCATTTTTTTCCTTCTCTGTGGAAAAACATTCGACAACTGTGAACACCTCACTGGTTGATACCTTGTCTTTATTGGACTCTCATTGATCATCTTCATATCCCTATTCAATTTCGGAATCATCCTAACAACCGCCAATATGTCGCAAAAGCAATATGCCACCTACAACGATGTAAGAATTCCAGTCTATTGACTAGTCAAAATCTCGCTGTGTTGGTCAAAAAAAGATGTTGAAGACATTGAAGACACACATGAACAGCAACATCAAGATCCCTCAACCCCGCAAAAATGCAGATTGTCTTATCGCAGTCCACAATTAAAATCCCTCTGAACTTTAAAAGGACCAAGACTAATGCAAATAACTGTGACAGGTCCACAATCTCTGCAAGAACTCGGCAAAAGCGCCTCTCGGGTCCTTTGATATCAACCTTATAATCGCCATCGGCGGTGGTGGTTACATCCCTGCCCGCATCCTCCGGTATGTTCAATCTTCACGTGCGACTCTATCTCGACTATACTGATGATCCCTACTTGCAAAAACAGGTCCTTCCTCAAGACCCCCGGTGGACCTAACATTCCTATCCAGGCCATCGGTCTATCCCTCTACGAGCGCTTGGGCACAGACAGCGTTGAGGAGGTCCCCGGTACTAAGGTCACCCGTTTGCAATGGCTCGACATAAACTCCTCCATGGCCAACTTGATTGGCAAGAACGTTCTTATCGTCGACGAGGTCGATGATACCCGTACAACCCTACAATACGCCGTGGAGGAGCTCGAGAAGGATGTGAATGAAGCCCAGAAGCAGCTCCCTCCCGGGGACGAGAGGAAGCACCTGAAGACTAACTTCTTTGTCTTCGTTCTGCACGTAAGTTTTTTTGTCTCTCTAGACGTTGATGGGTTTGGCTGACAGCTGGAATAGAACAAGCAAAAGGCTAAGAAGGGTGAGCTACCCAAAGATATGACCGAGAACGACAAACGTTACCACGCCGCGGTCACCACTGGGGATGTCTGGATCTGCTACCCTTGGGAGGCTGAGTATGTTATACCTCAAACTTTCTCCCCTCTGGATTCTGGCTGATTTGTTTTCTTTTTTTCTTCTCTTCTTGCAGAAACATTGAAGACCACGATAAGCTGGCTAAGGAAAGCCCTATCGTCGATATTTCGGGCAAGAAACCTACCGCCACAGAACCCTCTACCGTTTAAGCCAATGATTGCATTATCATAAGCATTCTATTTTGCGCGGCGCTCTGACAGTTTATATCGAAGACTTCATTTGTCCTCGATTTTACTGTCCATGCTCAGACCAGCTGCATAAACCTGAGCATGTAATTTTTACGATATCCTTGATGAATTTCTATAGAAAAAGTTCTTTCTTTTTGGCAGATTGGCAGACTAGCAGGCTGCTCCCAAAAGGTTTTTTTGACTTGAAACTGCTCTGGCGCCCGTGCTTCGTTTCTTTCTGAAAGAAAATGCCCCAGTAATCACCAGGGGTTTTGCTGTCACGACCAACCGGAAACCCGGGCCTTGAGTCCTCCAACATTGTTTTGCAGACATTGAATTGTAGACGGGTATCAAGAGAATATGGCATTGGTAGCGAAACAAAAAGTCACTGGAGCATAGTGTATTATATTGATCCGGCGCAGCCATGTTAATCCTGCGAAGATAAAAGCCTCCGCGTCCAAGTACCAATCTACAGTCTGAACTTCCCAGACTCAGACTCAGACCCAGATCCTGTCTGCCTGGGTTCTAGACCCGAGTATCTGGTTATCAGTCTGATCCATGCGCACATCAATCTCTCATTTAATCGACCTCAACCTTGCCCTGGCGCAACTCCACTTTGGCAAGCTCAATCTCCTTTTGTAGCTCGGCGTGTGCCTCGGGGACATCGTTGAAGGTGAAGATTGCCACACCCAGGCGGGCGAGGAGGTAGCAAGCGAAGACGATAAGCGTGTAGAATGGGAGCTGGGTAGTTATAGGTTAGTCTTTATTCCATCGACGCATTCGAAAACTGAATTGGGGGTCGTGGGGTTGACGGGGTGGGTAACGTACAACCGGAATGATTTCAGTCTGGACAGTCTCATTCAGGGGAACGAGTCCAAGGAAAAGGGAAAGGTAGAGCTGATGGATTGTCAGTAAGGTCCATGCGGGATTGTGTTCCTTTCTGAGATGGAGGGACTTCGTAGCATACCGAGGAGACAAGGAGAAGAACGGAGAGGGTCTGGACAGCGCGCGTCATGGTGAAATCGGTAGATGAGATGAGATATTCACAAAGGAGAGAAGAGAGGTCAATTGTGAAGATAGCACCGGTTTATTGTAGCAAAAATGAGAGACTCGGGGGTGTTGCAGTGCTATATGCGGCAAAGGCCAGCTTGGGCGATGCGCTTCTTGGCGCCCGGACCGGGTCACTGATCTTGTGTACCTGCTAAGTCTGTAGTGATACCTAGAGGGAACGGCTTAGATTTCAAGGGACTACTATATGTATGATCTAGTTAAACATAAATTTTCGTCTATATATAATTCTCCCATATGTTTGAAAGTAACATTAGAAGATTAAAAGAGAGAAGAACGAACATACAACGTAGACAGTTCTGTCTGCCCTTCCGCTTTGAGCACGCGGGCTCCACCTGGGCAGGGCATGTGCTTATGTAAGCAATCGACTCGACCTCAATCAAATGCACACACTACAGCAGACATATTCTTTCATGCTTTAACATTTTCATAGGGTCTAGAACCAACTATCGACGAGGCAGTATATTCTCATTTTATAGCAAGAAGACCTACTCCATAGCTTGGCCTAGATTCGGCGCGCTCCGATCTGCCCATGATCTATGGAACTATGATCACCATTCCTGGACCTCACCCGAGAACCGCACGAACTTGCCGCCATACTGCTCCTTAGTACCCGTGCTCAGAACCTCAACCATCCCGGTGATGGAATTCTCATAGCTATCCGGCGCCTCCTCCAGGCCCCAAAGCTGCGCAGCAGCATTGCCCATCTCGGTCTGTACCCAGCCAGGATCCAAGACAAACGCATTGAGCCATTCATCCTCAGCGTTGATCCGAACGCCATACCAGTTGAGAAGCGATTTGGATGCACCATACGCCGCACTTGGGACTGGGGGTTGACGTCTAGAAAGAATTAGCTTACATGTACTTTGCCCCGAATTTGAGCAGACATACGCGAGACCACCGGCCCCGGATCCCATAATAGCATAAATGGGCTTTCCAGTCGACTTCTGCAGCAGATCACGTGTAGCCTGGTACAACGAGACAACGCTCAATACGTTGACATCAATATGCTCCACTATATCGGTCCGCCTGACGTCCTTCACGAGAGGATATAATTTGGCAATGCCGGCATTGGCGACGACAATGTCGAGATGGGTGATTCCCTGATCGGTAGCTTCTTTGATAGCATCAAAGGGAGACTGCTCAACGCTCGCTTCATACTTGACTACTATCACACGGCTACCCTCGCCTGTGGAAAGCTCGGCAAGTGCCTGGGAGGTCGAGTGCGCTGGATCGCGGACAGCAGCTATAACAATCTATCGGGGATTTGGTTTCAGTGACTGCCTTGAATTGCACTTGAAACAGGAGAAGATAAGCATTTACATGGCCCGGTTTAGCGACGAAACCCTTGACCAGCCCTTGACCCAAGCCACGATTGGCACCGGTGATGAAGACAATGATAGGGGCCATTATGGGTAGTAATGATCCTTTGAGGGCTCGATAATTGGATATAGAAAAAGGCAATGAGAATATGCGTCTGATTGATTGACTCGAAGTGGATCCCGTCAAATGCAGCGAAACTGAAGTATAATATCTTGTATATGTCCGACTCAATGTACACTTATATATGTTTCTAAGTGAGAGTCAAACAGGCACTGTTGATTATCAATCCATAGGTATCCCATAGCTAATCTCCAATATCTAGCGATTAAGTATCTGATTACAAATGCAGGTGATCCCTGCTGCACCTCCAACCCAGAAGGCTGAATTATCACCATCTCAATGGATGATTGCGCGGTCAATAAAGTATCTACGTACTTCTATTAACTTGAAAGGGGAAAGCGGCCATCTGCACACTGATCACACCATCAATCACCGAGGGAAGTCTGATATTGCAGAATTGAACAAGAATATGTTACAGTTACCTGCTCTCGGATCCATATTGCAAAAGTAAACTTGATGACGAACATGTAGTTTATAATAAAAGTGTGATAATTTATGGAAATCAGCGCCGATATAAGTATGTTTAAACCAGAAACGACCTTAACTGCTAGTGGTAGGAAGGTATTGTATGCAACGAAATAACGGGAGCACCGAGATCACGTTCCCTAACTTGCCCTAGACCCTACGCCAAGGAATCGATTTTATGGATTTATCTACCTTAAATTTTTGATACTGAGCACAGAAGGTGTACTACTATGAGATAACGCTGGTCGAGCATTGAAGTGAGCCTTTTCGGAATGCTGAAAGCCTTTACTGGTATTTGTGAACGTCTTCATGCTATTACTGATACGCATTAAGACTAAAGGAAATTGACACACGAGCACAGTTAGTGGTCATCTTTCCCAAAATTAGAAGCCCTAGGCTACTGGTTAAGGAACTGTAGGATAATGGTTAGTCCATCAAGCTTATGTAATTCTCCCTGATTGGGAAATTATCATGATTCATTCCTTGAATATCGTGGTTCGATTCCGCGCAGCTCCATTCTTTTTTTTTTCTTCTTTTTTTTCCCTTCCTGGATCTATGTATTTTATAGCCCAAATTCTATAGGGAGACAAGATATTACAAATTAATCTGATATTGCATATTCCCTATAGATATATATTTACTGTTTCTCTGGTTTCTTTTCTGTCTACCTACGAGCTTCCAAAAAGCTTTGTACACACATCCATAGCAGTCCAAGCGGAACACGTAATCACGAGAATTGATATTCATTCTCAATGATTATATAGATATACTAAATAGATAGTACATATGTAGTTTTCATGTCTATCCAAATGAGTGAAGGTGCAATATAAGAAACATGATGGCTCCATATAACAGTATCCTCGGGCTTAACCTAAACGAGATTGGTGCCTGAATCAACCTCAGGCAGCACACTCCGTCTCTCCACGAAGAGTCTAAACTTACTTTGTATCTGCGATATTTCTAGTGACGAGCCGCTTGTCTTCCACTAATATCAATAGTCCATTTTAGGCACTCGTTGCCTGATTAAAAGCCACCAGCACTCTCATATCAGAGCATACCCTGTTTGTTGACAGTGTTTAAATTGTTGCGACGGGTCAACAGGCTGCCATCTAGGCTCCTCCATCTAACTGAGAAGGCCTTTCCCGTTCGGCCAAGGAATTCACATCTTCATATCTTCAACTCCACACGGACCCTTCCAAATTAACCCACACTCCGGAGGCAACTATCTGGCCTCGATTCGGCAAGATGTCTTCCGCGGGTATATCTACCGCCCAACTGGCCGTTCACGGGGATGCTGGCCACTCAGTCTCGAAAAGGAGTGATTTGGAATTGCTTCCTATCAAAAATATTCTCTCGGATCTACCGGAGATTTCTTCTTCTTTACCACCCCGCAAGGAAATCATTGACTCGGAAGAGCAACAGGACATGTTCCGTGAATTGCGAGACATCATTGAAAAGGCCCTGGAGGTCGACGAGGCTGGAAATAGCTTCGATCTCAAGGAACTCCATGCCTCTCTTGAGGAGGCCGATGCAAACACAAAACGCGGGCGACGGGACGCCGACACCCTGCAAAGCGTGAGCGCTACTCTGCAAAAGCTCTGGGCTTGTAACTCCGAGTATTTGGTTCAAGCTGCTGAAATTATTGCGGACGGTAGCAGAGATCGTGAGTCGATCCTATATACATGTCAATTTTATAACTTGCTCATTATGTTTCAGCTTCATGGCGTGCTCCATTTGGCCAGTCTGGCGTTCTGAAATTCTTCCTGGATGTGGTTTCTTTGAAGGGCGATGTCGATACCAGCTTGTTGCTTCACTCATTGCGAGTTATTGGAAACTCGTGTGCCGATACAGGTATGCTGCAATCACTTATATGTGTGCCCATATAACTAATGTTGATGCAGACGAGAATAGGGAGATTGTTGTGAAGGGAAACTATACGCTTTCTATCATTCGATACTTCCTTGATCCAGATTTGATTTTTGTTGCCATTCCAGTAATCTACAACATTTGCATGGATTACAGTATGTTCAGAAAGAACCGGCTGGTAACACGTCTTGCTAATGTGATATCAGAACCGGCACATACTCAGATAGCTACCAACCGGACAGCTTACATCTTATTGAAGTTGATCAAAGATGGCGAGATCGGAGACAATGAGGCTCTACTCAATTTCTCATACGACTTGATTGAGTTAGCCTCAGAACAAGGTACGCTTTATCCCAACCCCAGTCTGTTTCCCTATCTAACATGTAATCTACAGCCGAAGGCATTGAACACTCCCCCGACGGAACAATTCTACTGCTGATGGAGCTTGCCATTGATGAGACCCTTGATCTTGCACATTTCTCATCACTGGCAACTTCTCTTGCTGCTTACCTGGAAAACGAAAAGTTTCAGAATGTCTGCGTGTCGAATGGAATGGTGGAAGGCGTGCTGGATGTCCTGCGCCATTCATTTTCGATTGTGGTGGATCCTTCTTTTAGCGAAGACGTCAAGGCTCTCGCGCAGCTCCGCCTCAAAATTAACCAGGCTTTGGCTGAGGTATCTGCCTCACCATTGTTCGCCCAATACTATCCCCTTGATTCTCCTCTTTCAAAGACATTGAAGTCATGGGTGGTTGCAACCGAAGATCAACTTCAGATCTGCGCTTGTGTCATGCTTGGAAATCTCGCCCGGTCCGACGAGGTTTGCCAGGTGATGGTCCGGGACCTGAAAATCCACGAAGAATTGATATCCGTTCTCACGGGAGATGCCCATGGTGCGGTATTGCACTCTTCGCTTGGTTTCCTGAAGAACCTTGCAATTGCCGGCGACAACAGAGCCATTCTTGGAGAAGCTGGTATCATTCCTGCCATTTCACGATTATGGGCGTATGAATCAGTTCCACAGGTTCAATTCTCGGCTGCAAGTATTGCGCGTCAGGTGATTATCTCCTCAATGGATAATATCTCTCGTCTTCTCGCTCCTCTTTCACAAGATGTTGATTCCCCGGCCCACCAACGGACCTATCTGTCTCTGCTCCTGTCTCTTTTCGAGAAAACAGATTCCACACCAATCAAGACTGAAATCGGACGGACAGTTGCTTCAATCTGTCGGACTGTTAGCCCCAAGGCTCGCGATGCAGATGAAGAAGCAATGTCCTTGCTCAACCGGCTGTACACCTTGCACGAGGGTGTTTCACTGCCAGTAGGTGCGATGATCACACAGACTCAATGGCCTGTCGTTCGCAGTGAAGGCTGGTTTGCTCTGGCTCTAATGGCGACAAACAAACTCGGTTGTGCCGCCGTTGTAGACTGCTTCCACAAGACAGAAGTTACCGAGTTGCTCAAGACGACCCTAGGAGGGGGAACCCCCAATCAAGATAATGCCGAGGAGACAGACAAGTCACAGGAGACCAAAGACCGTGACAACGCTTTTGTGCTTGTGCAAGGACTGCTGATGAACGAGGTGAGTTTCCCGTCCTAGGATAACACTAGTCATTTACTAACCGGAAAATAGTCTGGTGCACTTCCTGTGGGTTATAGAGATATGCTGGAAGACTTGGTGAGGGTCAATGCCTCACAGCTGAAGGCTGCAACAGATGCTTGGGTGGAGAACTCCAACATGATATGATGTATTTGAAACAAGTGTTATCATTGTTGCATATGATGTGATACATCGGCCAAATATGTGCTTTGTGTTCAGATGTGGAACCAATATTGTCTAGAAATGGACCCAAAAGAAGGCTATAGAATAACTCTCCAGAGAGACCAAAGAACAACATTTCTCGTTGTATGTCCCTCAAAACATGACAGTTTGAACGAAGCATCGCTATGGGCGTATATATAGCTTGAAAACCTACTTCTTTACAAGAATCTAGTTGTAGACTCGCAGAAGTTGAGCAAAAATTGTTGGGTATATACGTATATGTACATGTAAATTCCTCCATTAATTGACACAACCTGATACCCAGGGGTTTCGATCACTCAGTCTGCAAACACACTTTCTCCTGCGCATATGCCCGGTAGCGAGTTATGAGATCTGTGGCATCTAGACCAGCCGCACCTTGTCGAGCAGAATAATGTGAAACAAGCCCCTTGCCGTCTATAATGACATGCGGACGAGAGCCATCCGACATATGCCAATTGTGGGAGGATCCCTTTGGGTTGTTGCGGAAAATATCATGCACATCCTCTGCATCATTACCCCAGAAGCACCCGAAATTCTCGCTGGTGGGCTCGGTTGGATCGACCCACATCGGGAACTTGTAACGGCCCAAATCATTGTGCTCTAGATGGTGCAAGAATGAGTAATGTTGTTGTGCACCAACAGTCCAGTCATGTAGGGTTGGACCAGTTTCAGTATATACGGATCTCGCGATAGGATCTCGGCCAGAGCCCGCGTCTCTGGGGAGTAGCCAGCGATGCCCTTCAAATGGCGGCTCAAAGTCTTTGCGTACTTCAAAGTTCAGTGGGCCCTGCCAGCTTGGAAGACTCGAAGCGCGCCAGTCATACTTCAGTTGT